GTGAGAACATTACCAAAAATGGTCAGTCATCTCCCCAGGTGATGACGACTTTAACATTAATTGGTCAAGCGATGTCTGCATTGTCGTCACCCATGACGGGGGAGACTGTCATAAATCGGGAGAAGTGACAGTTTGCGTCAGAAGAATCCCCGAGATTTCCCACGCTAAAAAGGTATAAAAGGGGAATGATCGGAGATCTCGAGGCGATCATCGGAGGACGCGATCATCGAAGAAAGAAGACTACAAGCGTCTACTCTGGAAGGACTTCAAGGTTTCTGATCGCCGACCTAAAGAGGTAAATACTTAGATTGTTTTTACTTCACTCTCTCTCGGTATACTCGGGACTTAGAAAATATTGTCTTTCGGTATACTCGGGACTTAGATTTTATTTATCAGTTCCTTTGAAGAGGACTTAGAATTATTTTGTGTTGAGGACCTTTGGTGGTCTCACTTACGGGATAGACGGACTTCGTTGTTCGATATTGTCACGACTCGGAATTTATTATGATTATCACTTTCATATTGTTTAGAATTAATATGTAATCTTAATGTATTTGTATTTATATTTAAGTTTATATTAAATATGTTATTCCTAATTTAATGACTCTTGATAAGTACTATCGACATCTCATCATGACTTCGTTACGCCTCCCACTCCTTTTGCCCTCCTATAGCCACTCTCTGACAGCGCGCCGGTAAGTGGGAGAAACTCTTATCCTATCCCCTCGGTTTGAACATATTGGTGTCATCCGACAAAACAAGCCATCCGACAACCGAGAGCGGGTCTTCCCGACCCGTGCAGATTAAGCAGTCATTAGGGTTCGACCCGGTGACCCCCTGCTACTCACATTATTATTAATCGGGAAAACATTTCAAAGTGTCGTTTCAATTCTATTTATTTATTAGAGTGATTGTGGATACATGATAAAAAATATCGTGTATCCACAAGCACTCAAATAAATAGAATTGAGGTGTTTTACCATCTGGTGCATACACAAATAAATCAGAAAGTTTTACGACACATGAGCTGGCCACATACAGTTGTCCATGTGAAAAGCACAGGTTCTCCAAATCTAGCCCACACACTTGCAATGATTGTCAGAAGTGCGATATTCCCTATTTTTATATATATTTTTTAATCCTTTACAATTTTAATTATTTAATTGCTCATTCCTCTCTTCCTTGGCATGTTGTGAAATTTCTGATAGTTCGATAATAAACCATTTTATTGTAATTTGTCTTTTTAAATTATTTTGAGTCGATATTAAAACTTAGAAAAGGGGGATACCTAGATCGGTAAAATAGGCACATTTCCTCCTACAACTTTGGTTGTTGTTCGGGATACAGTTAAGGTTTTAACAAAGTTCCAGCAAATACATAATTAGCAAAAAAAAAAGTTGAAATAAAGTGATTAAACAAAAATTATTACAAATATCGTAAATAACAATGCATATATAGAAATATTTTTTGGAGGGGGGAAATGGTCTTCACAATTTGAAACAGATCGAACTCACGATGCTCTTATACACTCGCGCCATCTATCGTAGATAAATGTACTATGCCAGAAACCTTCGCGGGAGTGTATTAAAAAAAACTTCCCAAAGTTTCATGGCAATCATACTATGCCAGAAACCTTTGCGGGAGTATATTAAACAACTTTCCCAAAGTTTCATGGCAATCGGATAAACAGTGTGGTAATGCATGAAGGACATACAGACAGACATTCATTTTTATATACACTATATAGATTACTACAAATTAACTCTATGTTTAAAGATTTTTTGAAATTATTGTGTAATTACAAACAATAGAAATTTGGTACATATTAAATATGACAATTATGAAAAATCACAAGTACAATTTACTGCTAAGAGAAGTATATTATACTTTTCTTGTGATTTTCCTGATACAGTAATTAATATCTAAACAAATAACCAACAAGAGCTTAAAAATATAGAAACTTTAATGTAAGAAAATGGAGGAAATCCATAAAAACAACAACTGAATGCACAATAAATAACTGACATTTAAAAATTTACAATTTCAGATTTAAACTTTCAATAAATATTTTTAATTTTGTCTAACAAGTCATACATTTATTATCAGAAAGATCTTAGTTCATATTAAATAGTAATTATATTATACTTTAAATTTAATTGTTTTCAGTTATAGTCCAAACTTTAGTATTTGAGATAAAATCATTGTTATATTCTGAAGAAAATGCTTTCATTTCGTAATTGTTAGTTTCAACATATTTAACAAACTGACAAGTTCACAGGCACATGTACACAACTCATTATAATCAAATCTCTCAACACTACAGAAATAGACAAATAATTTATTTCATATTGAGATATGCTTTTAGTCAAACATCTTGTAAAAATATTAATTTAAAATGAAAATTAATGAAATTATGAAGTTAAATTTAGAATATTCTGGAATAAATGATATTGACCCAGAATAAAATTCAATCTATGACAACTTTTTACTGCTTACCTTTATACCAAAATAAACTAGTTTGTGACAATGTCTGGTTGGAATTTTTGATCATTTTAGTTAAAAATGAATAAAATTTAACGTTGAATCTGAAATTTCAATTACTTTCCTCTATGAAGTCACTAAAAATTTAAAAATAGTCATATCACAGAATGTGAGATCACGTGAATATTGTACACCTTAGAGCAGGGGTTGCCAAACTGATTGTCAACACCCTACAACTTTTTGAAACCTCACATCAACCCCCACCAAAAAGTTTGTGTTACAAATAAAAAAAGCTCTTACTATTTTAATATATATCTTTTAATTTTACATTTATTGTACTGTACAGTACATATGTTAATTTTTGTAACTGACAATCAATGAGATGGATAAGCTTGATAATCCTTAGCAAGATTCGGTTAAAAATTTGTGTAAGTTTTAGTCTTTTCGTCAACCCCCAATAATGTTGTATTAATCCCTGGGAGCCGATATCGACCACTTTGGTTGTATGATATATCATTGATCTCAATTTGTATCAATTTATATTAAATTTATCACTATATAGTAAGGTAAAAAATATTTTTAACTGAAATCACATGACTTCCAGTCCAGAAGTTCACATATAGTTAAATCAGGGTCTCCAGCACCTAAGCTTTCCATATCAAATCTTTATTTTCATCTAACTCCAAGGTTAATGATGACAGTGTGAGATTTATAGGTCTGCAGTTTGAAATTGCAACACAATAACAGTCAATATAGCCCAAATAATCCAGCATTTAAGAATTTTAAATAGTAAATGTATTTGCCCTGTTTGGAGATAGTTTTGTAAAATTACAAATTATAGAAGTCTATATAATAAATATTTTTCAAACATTTCAAACTTAAAATAAATAGTTTTAGAGAATCTTATACATACTTGTTCACCATTTTAAAGTTTTGACAACTTTATTTTCAATATTAGGATTATTACCTATATTACTTGCATTTATAATACACAAAAGTAGTAGCAGCAAGTTGAACATTTTATAACTAGACCCAAACTGTATTTTTTGAAATATGCTGCCACAATTTCAATGCATACTTGACAAAGCAAACAACTGCTTATGAAGTACTGACAAAAGATATCTGAACATCTAATAAGACAATTTGTGAATGTTATTTTAAACTTTTAAGTGACTGCCCTTATAATTATGGGATGCACCTTAATCACATCAGTTCACTTGATTTTTCCTATATGTCCTTCCTTTCAAATACCTTCCAATATAAATGTTTGGAAAATGCATTTTAATCCACAAAATAATCTATGAAAATCAAATGTTTTTTACTTAGACAATACTACTAACTAACATTAAACAGCTTAATATGTTAGGTTGAAATTACTTATGAACTATGTTAGAAGACTTACAAGTTTGTAGTATCTAATTGAGTTTTAACTTTTAAAAACTTCAGTGTTTGTCTACTATTGGTCAGATAAATGTATCATTAAATTTGGAAGTAAACAGACTTTGATAATGGTAGTCTAATCTGAAAACTAATGGAATACATTTGCTGCAAACCATTAGTCTATCATATTGTGATCAATTTCCTTTTTAACATAGAAGATACATCATCCAGTATATTGGTTTATGGTATAAGTCAGCACAAATTTTATACAGTGTGTAGAGGGTAATATAATTCAACTTGAATCAAAATTTACCTTGATTTAGAATTACTGAATACTGATAAATCATTGTTTTCAAAATTAATCATTCTGATTTTATGAAATTAAAAATTTATACACGATACCTTTAAAAGTGGCTACAATATAAGCAGCTGAAAAAAAGGGAAAGAAAAGTTTAAATTTTCTCCGAAAAATCATTACTAAATAATGCTACGACAGCACCAAAGGTAAATGGGACATAAACATTCAAAAATATGAGGCACCATCCTTCTCAAAAGAGAAGGAAAACCTATAATCAGACATATCCAGAACAAGATAGAGAAAACCAGTACAGCTACTTAGTCTGAACACCAAAAGGCCTCTAAAGATTAATCTCATGCAAAAACATACTGTATATGAAACATTTTTTAAAATTATACGTTTAAACTAAAAATACATTAATATCTCCATTACATTTAGATTTTCTATAATAGATTGAACTGGCATTTAACACAGTAATAGGTCATATCTTTTTACAGGAGTTACTTTCCTGTGCAATATAGATAAATTCAAGGTCTCATCATGGCGCAATTCCTTTACTCGAACAAAAGAAACAGGAAATCTAACAGAAGTTTACTCGTTCTTTACAAGTCATCAGAAAAACACTACAAATCTTCTTAATATCAGTTAGTCTTGATAAAAAAAATCGATTTAAAAGGAAAATACTTGCAAAATAACGCAGTTTATATACAAGAACGAAATCATACTTAATGATTTTTAATAATAAATAACGACTTTGCGAGCTGAAAACACGCGTAAAAAATGATTTAAAATTTAAATTATCCATCATCATCACATTTTTCTGATTAAAAAAAATACTCACTATTGATAGGTATACGTAACTTGCGTATAATTCCATATTTATCTGCTTATTGATGCCTTTTTCGCATTCCTTGTCGAAATTTTGACGTACTTGACTTTCTGCCATTTTTTACAGACCTCTTTCTACGTAATTCAGAGAAAATTGAGAAAAGAAAAAGTATATTTTACGGAGAGAAAAATGTGGAGGTGCTCGTTCAATCACTGTTGAAGCAAAACACCAACCAACTGATGGCGACGGAAACGCCGTTCGCTATTTATACGTACGGAGGGCGCTGTTCCAATGAGCATCGTCACTTCATGGTTTTAATAATTTAAAACGGAATTATAATAAATTTCTTGCAATATTAACAATATTTTATTTTTAAGTCTTAATTTTAATTAAATAATATATTAAAACAATTACGGGTTAACAATAAATTATGTTGGTATTCGTCAATTATGAATGCCAAACGGAACGGCCTATACTTGTTTATGAAACGGAATGACGTCATCAGAACTGACGACAGACAATTGCAATCAATTGTTTATAATAAATTAATACATGGATTTAATATTAAATTAATAAACTTAACAAATTTATTTTAGGATTCGTTTAATAATTATTTATACTTAAAACACGTAATTTTACGTATTCGAAATTTGAATTTCGCTTAAATTTATATTCGTTATTTTAAAATCGTCCAATTAGATTAGGAAAATTATTATTAATTCTTAGTTTTTATTCATATTTATAGTATTTTAATTACATATCTTTATTAGTCTTTCGAAAAGACTAGAAGAGATGGTCACGGAACATAAATTTGAATCGAGTGTATAGTGTAACTAGTCGGAAATAACATGTGTTTAATAGATTAAAAAGTAAAAAAAGTCATACAAAACATCAAAGTTTAGGTGCCAAAAATTCGTATAATGTCTGCGAAATTGTACTGTATATAGTTTGAAATAGAATCTTTATATTATCACATGAACACGAAACTTTCATCATAACATCTCTTCATTACTTTAAAGATCGAAGTCCATTAAATGGAAACGACGCAATAAACGAGCAATTAAATCCACTTCTGTAAAACTTTCCACAAATTTATTCTTTTATATTATACAGTATTTCTATTAGATTATATCAATACATGCAAAATACATATTGACTTAATCAGAAAATCTCGTTTTTTCCATGAAAAAAATCATATAGACTATTATGTAATTTATTTTCGAATTCGAAGAAATTGTAACTTTTATATGTTAAAAGTAAAAGATAATTACTATAATTTTAGAAATGTAATTAATCATAAAACTGAATTATTACTTTTATTATAATTTCTAATCCTATTTTATGTCACTTTACTAATTTATTAACTTTTTAAGTTTATTTGCCCATATATCAAGGTTGTATAACGAACAGTAAAATGTACTTGCTTACGCTATAAACTTACAAATACCCAGTTTTTATCTATAAATTATNAATAATAAAAAGATAAAACAATTTAATATTATGAATGAAATTGCATTAATAATAAATATATTTGTAAAAATAATCATAAATTATTGGGTTGTTCGGAAAGTAATTTCGGTTTTTTTTACCACTAGACGAATTAGTCGTATTTTTCCCGCCATTTTCATTCTAAACCGTATTATCATTATATGTTTTGACAGCTAGCATTTTAAGGCTTATTTGTAAAAAATTTTGTTTGATTTTGTGCAATTGTTTATTTTTTGTGTCCCATCAAATATGGAAGATCGAAAGCAGCATTTTCGGCATATTTTGCTCTTTCATTACCAAAAAGTAAGAATACTGTTCAAGTGAGAAAAAAATTGTGTGACGGGTATGGAGATGATGTATTGACAGAACAACAGTGCCAAAACTGGTTTACAAAATTTTGTTCTGGCAATTTCAATATTGAAGATGCACCACGTTCTGGATGGCCAGTTGTAGACAATGAAACAAAATAAAGGTACTGATTGAAGCAACTGCCGAATAACAACACGTGAAATCACTAAGAGATTAAATTTGTCAAATTGAACCGTTTACGATTACTTGAAACAAATTGGTTTTGTTTCAAAGCTTGATATATGGGTTCCACATATTCTTAAAGAGAGATGATCTCTTTGGTGGGATTTTAAGGAAATTGTTTTTTTTTGGTGCTTTTACCAGACAATTTAACAATTGATTTGAAAGTGTACTGCCATTGAGTAAACAAATTGAGTAATATAAAACAGAAAAGGCCAGAATTTATCAACAAAAAAAGGTGTAGTGTTTTGCCATGATGATGTCAAATTTCACACAAGTTTGGTAACTCGTTAGAAACTGTTATAACTTGGTTGGTGTGATAGCATGTCCATCTATATTCTCCAGATCCAGCACCCTCAGATTATTACTTGTTCCGGTCTATACAAATTTTTTTTAATTGTAAGACATTTACTTGAAATGACCGATGTCAAAAATCACTTGGATCAGTTTTTCGTAAGCAATGATCAAAACTTTTATGAATGTGAAATCATGCTATTACAGNTTTTTAAAAAAATTCTATAATAAATTAATTGCCCAAATATATGTTTACTTTAATAAATATTAACGGTTTTTTTATATATAAGTTTATTTGTGGGGGCGTTTGGACGGCAAGCAGCTAAATAATGCCAACGCTTGAGAGCGACGTTGAGAGCATTTTACGATCACTAATATTATCACTTTTATATCGAGCTCGCGACATGCGTATTGGTACAGTGCCAGATAAGAATTTCTGCTTGAAATGTGATCCATATTTCAAGCAGATCGGAATCACAAGTCCGGACTGCTAGACTGCCATTCTAGGCTGTAGAGAATACAATTAAATATTTCACACAACACAGCAGCCTATACTTAGTTGAAATGTATATATAAAAGGAAACCAAGTTTGTCATTTAGGCTCATAAACAAGGCTTTTGTTTTAAAACATTTTTATACTTTATAATATCTTCTTAAGGTGTTATTTTGGATTGCATCATCGTTCTAAAAACCTTAGACTTCTATATCATTTTAACTTGATCTAGAGTTGAAATACAGTATAACGAAAGATATCTCTCAGAAACACTGGACCCATACAGAAGTACTGTATAGTACGTCAACAGCATCATTTGGTCCAGGATATGGACATAGAGGAGCCTTCAAAACTTGATCTTTTATTTAAAAAAAAAAAAAACCTAGAAATTTCTCCATCAAGCATGACAAACTACTTTCTATGAGAAAGTAGACTGAAAAATTGAGAAGAGTAGAAATTTCAAGAAATTCAAAAAGAATAACTAATGTTTTCTACAAATTAAGTAGCCTGTAATGTTCGTCGGAACATGATTAATAGGCGATAATACAGTACATTTTAAATAACACAGTCGTTAGATCGTTACTTTTGATTGAATAACAAATTCTGTTCTTGTTATGATCACTATGCTTTAAAAAAAAAAAAAAATGTTATAAAAGCGATACGACGCGGCTGTTGTTTTTAATTTAATTACTAAATTTAAAATTATGCCATTTGCCAAAATATTTAAAAATTCAACTTAACGTAAATGTTCTCACTGACGTCACTGAGTTGAAATCAATAAAACTAATTTTTATATCTAATAACTAATATTTTTGCAAATTACTTAGCCTATATTTTCCTTAGGAACACAAAAAGAATATAATCAAAATTTCACTTGAATTGGACAAAAAATAGGAGTTACAGAGAATTCACAAACATACATACACATAGACAATAGCTTTTACATTATTAATATAATATGAAAGTGATATAAATTAACGTTTATTTTGATAAGTTAATAAAAAATCTTTTTCAACTATTTTATTCATAAATTTTTAATAGTTTCGGAGCGAATAATACAGGGAGGCACATAATTATATACGTTGTTTTTATTTTCGAAATATAAACAGGATTTACACACGTACCTAGTGAAAGCCATACCTAGTAAAGGATTTTCCTTTTTAGTTATCAACATGGCTGTCTCCATAGGCATGTATTGTTAGACAAATCAAATTTTCTGTTTCAAGATCGTAATTGTGTGTTGATGTACGCGAGAAGAGAAAATGTGCCATTTGATCATACTGCAGTGCCGTAAGCTTGCATGAAAGTGGGTTACTCTAACAGAAACGCGATGTTTGTTACGATATTCCCTAGGCTACATCCTCCGTCACTGAGAGAGATGAAAGAAAAATTTATACAAACTATATCTGAGGTCCACAAAGAGGAAACAGATAGGCTAATAAGTTTGTGTAAGGAAGAGAATTTCGTGCAAGTTCATATTTCTTTCCAAAGGAACCAATACTCAAAAACTCCTAGCAGCTGCAAATCTCTCGCCAGTCCCTACAATGGATACGGGCGAGTGTATTGAACTTCAAAACGTATTGCATTCAAACGTTGCATCAGATACGCTCTGGTCTACTGGTCGGAGGAGGCAATGTTTCATGTCTCAGGATGCGTCAAAAAATGGGATCGTTCCTTGCTCGTAGAATAACAACACTAGCGCAACTCCTCGAAAATGAATGACTTACGTGTGACACCATCACCGCGGAATCCTTCCATGCTATCTTCACAGAGATAGTGTTACCCAATATGCGCCAGCAACAACTGCTGGATGATCAAGTGTTTCTGAAGCTAGACGGAAACACGTTTACATTAGTCACGGCACATTAGTTACATTAGTTACATACCCGAACATATGTCCTCATATGTTCGGGTGAACCTATACATTGACTGTGGAATCGTCGTGTTGAAAATTAACAAAGAGTTGGAAATCCTTTATCAGGTGTAATCATCACCAAGTATATGAGCAACTTATAAACGCGTAAATTACAAGCATGTATTTCGAAAATAAAAAAGGATACACAACTATGCGTCTACGTGTATTTTGGATCCGGAAATGTAAGTTTTTTTTAATCTTTATTCCAGTAACTGTGTCGAGTTTAGCAACCGTAAGAGTAACAAATTTAATTAAACGGTCTGATAGACATCCGTTTTGATGATTTGTACTTTTATATCTTTTATATATCTCTAAAGGAAGCTAGTATTAAAAAATTCCTTGACCAATTACTCGTTTACATTATTGACAACTCCAGATGTGACCTAAATTCGGATCATAGTAAGGGATGAAAACAATTTACTTGAATTTCTCATGCTCCTAATGAATAAGTCTGTAAAGTTCAAATCATAGCATTTTTCACGTTTATACAAAAGCGATTTTGTTTCTAAATATTAAAGAGAAAAACGTATATTTTCA